ACTCTCTCATCATTGATGTTTCTAGCTCTCCCTCTTCCTTCCTCTCTGAACTCAATAAAAGTTATTTTTTAAAAAAAGAAAAGAGGCTTCTTAGTGAGTGAGGAATGTGAATTACATCTGAAGAAAATCAACAATGCTTAACTCTTGTGTTTTATCTATTTTAATTGAGGTATAATTTACATACAATAAAATGTTCTAATTTTAAGTGTGTGATTCGATGAGTTTTGACAAATGTATAAATTATGTATCACACCATAATAAAAATATAGAACATCTTATCACTCCAAAGTTCTTTTGTACCCTTTTTTAGTCAGTCCCAGATGAAATATACAATATAAAGTAGAAATGGTGAGAAAATACCATTGTTTTTAATCTTAGGGGTCTTTCACCATGAAGTATGATTTTATTTGTGAGTATTAATAGATGTCGTTTTATCAGCTTGATGAATATTTCTAGTTTGTGAAAATGTTTATTTTTTTTATCATGGATAAATGTTGAATTCTGTCAAATACTTTTTCTACATCTACTGAGATCAACATTGTTTTTTCTTCTTTAATTTGTTGCTATCGAGAATTGCATTAATTTTTGAAGGTTGAACCACTTATGTTCCCACTTGTTAATGATATATTACCCTTATAATATATTGCTTTATATTATTTATTATTGTTTTGAAGATTTCTGTTATTATGTTGAGGAATATTGGTCTGTAGTTGTCTTTTCTTGTGATATTTTGATATCAAGGCAATGGTGGCCTCATAAAGTGAGTTGAGAAGTGTTCCTTTCTCTTCTATTTTCTGAGAAATTTGCATAGGATCCTTATTATTATTCTCTTAAATGTTGAGAAAAATCACCAGTGAAGCCCACTATGCCTGGAAATCCTTTGTCAGAGGTTATTAATTACTCATTCATTTTATAAAATTTATATAGTTATAATATTTTAAATTTCTTCTTGGGTTAGTTTTTGATGATTTCTATTTTAAATTTTTATTTATGCTGTCAAATATATTGCATTATTATCTTATTAACATGTAAGCTTTTTATATTATCACTTTATCAACATTATAATGCCTTTAGCATCTATAGTGATATCCACTCTTTCATTCCTTATAATTTGGGTCTTTATGATGGAGTTAATTTTGTCCTACTTACAATCTAATAAACTAGCCTTCCACAGTTTCATGAAGACTTACAGAAGACAAGAGACTCCTGGACAGACACAAAGAAATTCATTACAGCAAAAGTAGTTGCAAAAAATGACCAATTGAGAAAGAATATGAAGAGAATAATTCCATTTACAATAGCATCAAAAAGTATAAAATACTTAGAAAGAAATCTAACCAAGGAGGATTTATACACTTAAAACTACAAAACATTGCTGAAGAAAGTTAAAGAAGACACCAATAAATGGAAAGACATCCTGTGTTCATGGGTTGGGAGACTTAATATTGATAAGATGTTAATGTGACCCAAAGCAATCTACAGATTTAATGAAATCCCTATCAAAGTCCAAATGGCATTTTTTTTTTTTGCAAAAATAGAAAAATCCATATAGAATTTCAAGGGACCCTGAGTAGCCAAAACCATCTTGAAAAAGTACAAAGTTGGAGGTCTCACACTTTCTGATTTCAAAACTTATTCCAAAGCCACAGTTATCAAAAGAGTATGGTTCTGGCATAAGGCAGACATATAGAACAATGAAATGGAAAAGAGAGCTCAGAAATAAGCCCTCACATACATGGTCAAATGATATGACCAAAAAAACAAAAGAAGTAGTTGCCAGAGTATTAGCATCATATTAGCATTACAGTTTCTTGAACCCCATGTATCACAGAGTGGTGTGGAGGACCAGATAAAGTCCGCATGTGTAGTGGGTTGGGCCACAGAAGAGGAACTCTGAGTTTAAGGAATCCATCACTTTTATGGCAAGCAGTAAGGAAGCATTCATTCCCTTTGTACAGAGGGAGTCATTACCTCACCTCTCATACAGAATCTCAAGGGACCCTGTCATCTCTCAAGCTTACAGCTTCATGAAGACTCCTGAGAAATGGTTCAGGTCAAAAGGGGTTAAGATAGTGCTAGGAGATGATGTCTTTGGTAAAGGTATTTACATGTCTGCACATTAGCAACATTAAAAACCTCTCCAAATTTAAAAAAAAAAATCATTGATCATCCTTATAACCAGTGCTTTGAACTCTATCTGATAGAGTGTCCAGAAATCCCTTGTCTGAAGCTCTGTACCTCGCTTGGAAGTAAAGCCTGCTTCTTTGTGTCATCCAGACAAGAGTAGGATGTTTCATTCTTATTGATATGACTTTAAACAGCAAATTTTCTGACAGTCTATGATTTTAGAGAAGAAGGGTCTAAGTCAGCGGTTCTCAACCTGTGGGTCGCGACCCCTTTGGCGGTTGAACGACCCTTTCACAGGGGTCGCCTAAGACCATCCTGCATATTAGATATTTACATTACGATTCATAACAGTAGCAACATTACAGCCATGAAGTAGCAACGAAAATAATTTTATGGTTGGGTCACAACATGAGGAACTGTATTTAAAGGGCCAGAAGGTTGAGAACCACTGGTCTAAGTAGAAAGCAGCGGTCAAAAGGATTGTGATGACACTTCATACCTACAGTCAGACCTTGGGAGGAATATTGTTTCCTTTAACTTTGCAGCTGGTTTTATCTGTGTCTGTTGTTATAAAACAAGACAACATACCCCAAATGGCTTATGCTAAGCCTCATGTCACCAAATGAAGAAGACTTACTTACATTTCTGCTCTACCAGAATCAGACTCTTAAACCAGTCAATCAGGAATCGCTCAATCATCACTAGTTAGGTAATCTGCCCCACCATCCCCTTAGTAACTGCAATAACCATCCTGCTCTTTTTTTAAAAATAATTTTAAAAAAATTGATTTCAGACAGGGAGAGGAAGAGAGAGGTAGAAACATCAATGATGAGAGAGAATCATCAATCCGCTTGCCTCTTGCATGCCCCCTATTGGGGACTGAGCCCATAACCCAGGCATATGCCCTGACCAGATATCGAACCCTGACCTCCTGGGTTCATGAGTGGACGCTCAACCACTGAGTACAGCAGCTGGGCCCAACCTGCTTTTTGCCTGTATAATTTCCTAGTTCCTCTCCCTTCTATATAAAAGACTTTTATTTTGTACAGCTCCTTTTTATCTGCTAGATTGAATGTTGCCTGATTCAAACCAACTTTTGCTCAACTACACGCTTAAAATTTTAAAAAATATGGCTCAGTTTATCTTTTAACATATCCCAGCGTCATGAATGGCCAGTCTTGATTTTCCAAAGGGAGCTGATCGTTTGCTTTCTCAGTGCAAATGCTCCACACACAACAGCACGTTCCTAGGCTGTGTTAACTTGATCATAGACTGGAAAACCAAACACATTGTTCAGTTTTTTTTGTTTTGTTTTTCTCCCAGAAGTGTAAATGATAAGGTGGAGCCACAGAAACCCTAAAATCAAGGCCGTGTTCCGTCAGGTCCCCTCTTCTCTCCACACACTCACACCTTTGTTCTGCCTCCAGCTCCCAAGGTGTCCAAAGGTCGCACTCCGGGAGTCAGAAACAAAAGAACCAGTGAGCCCCTCCCTGCTTTAAACCAAGTTCCTCGCGGCCTCTGCGAGGCTGTGGGTTGGAGCCCCCGCTTGGAGAAAGGGGGGTGCTGCGGAGCGGATTCGTGTCGCCGCCGTCCCTGTGTCCCCCCCGCGGGAAGATCTGCGGCTTGCGGAGTAGGAGAGAAGCCACGTCGCCAAACCACAGGGCCACCCACCGGGCTTCCAGATGCAACCCCCCAGACCACGTCCAGCTCCAGCCTGGGGGCGCGACCCTGCCCCCTGACGCTGGGGAGATCCCTCAGCCCCGCCCCCCGATCCCGGCCCGAGCCTGGCTCCCGGCCCCGCCCCTGCACTGCTCCCCGGAACCCGGTGGTGGTGGGAGCTGCTCCCTCGCCGGGCCCGGTGGGGGCGGACCCCGTCCAGCAGCTGCGGGACCGGAGCGGCGGGGGTGAACTCCGTCCGGAAGCCGGGGGTTCGCGGTCATGGCTCAGTCCGCCCGCGCCCTGTCGCTGCTCCGCGGT